AATCCAAGTAAAATAAGATATTAAAACTGTTCCACAAAAAGAGCTCAATGTATTACAGAGAAACTAATTAGTACACAATAAAATCCAAAATCACCCCATATGAGGAATAAGTTTATTTCAGCTGACAAAATTTGTTGGTCTTATTCAACCCTGGCCCTGGTATATAGACTGAGTGTGTTGGAATTAGAAATTTAAAAGTGACAGCTACAAAAAAAAAAAAAAATACAGAATTTATCCATTTCAATGTTTCATTCAGGTAAAAGGTACGAGACAGTGGTCAGGGGGAGGGTGGAAGGTATTAGTCTTAAAGGGAAGAAGTTTTATAAAATTAAACCCAGATATTAAACTTATGGCATTAAATTGGTGTTATAAGAATGAAATGTTAATTTGAAACTAAGAGACAAATAAAAAGGGTTTTTTTTAAAAAAAGAAAAAGAAAAAACTTATATAAAATTATGTTTAAAAATGCAAAATCATACTTGTCTTTGGAATAGTACTTTTAAATTAAAAGTAAGTCATATTTAAATTCATATGAAAATAAGTGAAATTATATTTAATATAAAATCAATAGGTTATATTAAAGAATAATAAATATTTAGAAATAAAAATAGATAATGAAATAAATAGAAATTTTTAACTTTAAAGAAGTTAAATCTAAAAAAACAAGTTATATTTAAAAATACAAAGTTATCTTCAAAAACAACCCTAAAATATATAAAGCAGTGTAAGTGATAAAAGAAAAGAGTTCTTAGAATGGGACAATTATAAGATATAATTAATATGGTGTAAAAATGTAAATATAGAAATTAGAAAGAGTGCCAGAGAAAAAATCAATGACGAAAATTGCAATATAAGCTCTGGTAAAAAAGTTTGCTGAAGCATTAGGTTTATAATACCCAGAAATTTATACATAGATCATAAAGGACACATGGCACAGTGGAGAAAGACGTTAGTTAGATCCAGTGACAGGACCCAAATAGTGTGAATTCAATACCTGGAGAAGGTGATGGCGAACTCGGAGGAGAAAATTAACAGGTGATAGCCGAAAACTGATATCCATTAGACAGGCACGTGGAACTAGAAAAGTCTACCCCAGTGAAATAAAGGGTTCAGTTCAAGATTCCATTCCAACCACCTGAAGAAGGCTGAAGCGTATAATGGCCAAAGTATTATGATAAATATGGCAACAAAGATAAGGACAATAGTCTGAATAATGTAAATAAGATTAGTGATACTAACAATTCAGTTATACCTTTAAAGAAACTATAAAGTACTTTTTCTTTAAGGGGAAAGAAACAATTATATGCCAAATTTTGTATCTATTGCACAACCTTTTACTGCAATACATTTAATTATGTTAGCTTTGTCAATCTCTTACTGTGCCTAATTTAAACTATCATATATATATATATATATATATTTTTTTTTTTTCCAAGATATACAGTGGGTAGCAAAAGTATTTAACACATTGATTTTTCTTACATATCTCAAAAAATAACAGATCAATTTCAGCGAAACTTATAGGAAATATTTAAACGAACATTGTCGATCAAAGCATAGAAGGAAAATTTAAAACCACTGTTTTGAGAAACATTTATTAACGATAAATAAAATAACCCATATGCAAAAGTATTTAACACCAATGCAAATATTATGTTAGAAGAGACGTGTCATCATGATTCCTACCCATATTGACATGATGTGATATGTCGAGCAATGACAGCACTGCACGACACTCAACTGGCTATTAGATAACAGCTGAGACACTGCAGCTATTCTGTTGCCACTACTGCAAGATAATGGTGAAAACAAAATAATTGTCGAACGACATGCACAAGAAGATCATAAAGAATCACAAAGATGGTAAGGGATATAGAAAAATCACTCAAGATTTGAATTTGCTTATGAGTACAGTTGGTGCTGCTGTTCGAAAATGGAAAAAATTTGATACTATTGAAAACATTCAAAGGAGTGGTCTTCCCTGTATCTTAAATGAGGCTAATGAGTGATACATTTCCTGTACTGTGAAGAAAAATCCATTTTCAACTCGTTGAGAAATTCAGAATGATTTGAAAAATGCCGGAATTGAAGTTAGTAAAGATACAATTAAAAGATCACTGAATCGCAGGTCTCACTTCAAGATCACCGAGAAAGACTCCATTACTGAAACGCCGACATGTACAAGCCCGTTTGAATTTTGTAAAGAAATATGAAATTGAATCTAATGATTTCTGGGAGAAAGTAATTTGGTCAGACGAAACGAAAATTGAGCTTTACAGACAAAACATGTGCACTCATGTATGGAGGAAAAAAGGAGCAGAATACGAGCCAGCAAATACCATCCCTACAGTCAAACATGGGGGTGGAAATATTATGATGTTGGTTTTTTCCTCAAATGGAGTAGGAAAAATGAAAATCATCGAAGGAACAATGAATGCTGCAAAATACACTCAAATTTTGTCAGCTCAGCTCTTGAATAGTGCCACATCTTTGGGACATGGTCGTGATTTTGTATTTCAGCAAGACAATGACCCAAAGCATACTGCTAAAACAACTAAGAATTGGTTTAATAATTATGACATGACCAAGCCAGTCACCGGATTTAACTCCAATCGAAAATTTGTGGAAACTATTGAAATTATGAGTTCATAAAAGGAATCCATTGAATTTAAACAAATTGAAGAAAATTTGTGAAGAAGAATGGGTCAAAATACCAACAAGTACCTGCAAGAAACTAGTTGAAGACTACAGGAAATGACTGGAGGCTGTGAAGCAGAACAGAGGCCACTGTACTAAATATTAGTAAAGTGTGTTAAATACTTTTGCATATGGGTTATTTTATTTATTATTAATAAATGTTTCTCAAAACAGTGGTTTTAAATTTTCCTTCTATGTTTTGATCGACAATGTTCATTTAAATATTTCCTATAAGTTTCGTTGAAATTGATCTGTTATTTTTTGAGATATGTAAGAAAAACCAATGTGTTAAATACTTTTGCTACCCACTGTATATCTTGGAAAAATATATATATGATAGTCTTAATGGGTAAAAGTGCTCAATATCATGAACAGCCTAGTGGACACTGAGATCAACACCGAGCCACGACAGTCTGTTTTATGCAATCTTCAGGCCATGTGTGTTGTAGCGACTATTAATACATGCTGATCAATGGTGCATTATGGATAGCTAGGTCTATTGTTAATATATTATGAAAATAATTAAAAAATAAATTAAACAACAATTGCACACAAATGCAAGTAAATATAATAAATAATTGAGTAATCAATAATAATGAGGAAAAAGTTAGCAAACAAGACAATAAAATAGTTACAAATATTTATATACGTTTACATTTGGATCTACAATTAGTTATACTCCATAGTCTCTCAAATGATTTGAAATATAACTATTTCTGCCTATCCAATAACCATTAGGATAAGAGAATAGACCTTGCTACCCATAATGTGCCACTGACTAGCATATATAAATAGTTGAGCCAACACATATGGCCTGAAGATCGTATTCAAGCAATGAAACAGACTGTCAATGTTGACCTCAATATCCACTTTTATTTACAGACATAGGGTTCTAGAATATCTCCCTAAGTGGGGGAGGTGAAGGGACTATTTGGAAGACTGCTCATTTAATCAGTTATGAAAATTCAAGAATAAAACTAAAACTATATTTAAAGAAAAAGGACTTTATCTATACATATAAAAAGGGCAGTTGTCTGTGTCTGTGTGTGTGCGTGTATGTGTCTGGTGAAAACTAAAAAACTACAATAATTAATGGTAAAATAAATATATATACAGATTCAGTTTCACCCAACCCACCTTTTTGTAAAAAAAGGTTATCGTATGATTTGTAGTTATGAAGATATTTTAAAATTGAAAATACGTAATTGCATTAGAATGCATTCAAAATTCTTAGAATTAAAAAGTAAAAACAAACGGGAATAATTCTTATTCCATTCATTTTTACTTTTTAATTCTGCTGATGATTTCAAAACACTACATCTATTTTTAAAATTTCTATTTTCTTGAATTTATTTCCATATCTATGGTAAATAAAAGTATAACTTTAAAAAAAATGAATATTAAAACAAAGTAAATTTAAAAGAAAATGAATATTCAAAACAAAAATTGTACAAACACAACAGAATAAATTCCTGTAGATATTTTTGGGAGAATTTTCAGTAGCTTTAATAGAATCAGATATTTTTAATTACCTATTTTTAATAACAGGTTTACTTTAACTACATACATTTTGTTTTTACGTTGTAAGGATATTACTATCTGTCTACACATACATAAAGAGCAGTTGTCTGTGAGTGTGTGTATTATTGACTTATTAAAATAGTAATTAAATTCATTTATGGAGAAATGTTTGCTTCTTTCACTTTCTTTAAAAAGAAAATAATCACTAATGTAATGTTTAAAAGTAAAACTTTATTTACTTAAAGAAATCTAAATTCCCCTCCAAAATAAATAGTAAATAATTATTTTTCAAAAAAGTAAAGCTCACGATAGTTTTTGTTTGAAAAAAGGATTAAATTAAATATGTGTAAATATACCTTAAGTTTATTTACTTTTTTATTAATAATAATTTGAAAAAAAAAAGTTAATGAACTTAGATAAATCGATTTGATTTGTTTGAAAACATTGACAGAGTATTTATGTTAGTATTTAATTCAAAAAATAAAATGTCTTTTTGAATAAAAATATGAGGATGTTCAGCACCCCCACCTCGAGTGTGGTGTTGGTAGTGTGGCATTTCCCTAAATTTAGTTATTTTGTAACAAACCAAGAAAACAATGAAGTTTATTTTTTAAAGAATGAATAAAAAATTATTTTCCATAACTGAAAAATATCAATTGCCAATAATAAACTATTATTCAGATCTTCCAAGCAACACTAGGTATCCCTGCTAGTCCTAAAAATAAGGAAATTTAATGCTTTAACTTTCCTTAAGCATCTTGTGTTCATTTTTATTTTCTTTCTCATAAATTTTTGCCATGTTGATAAGAGATGACAAAATATGAAAGTAAGACCTGAAATTAAAAACAAAACAAAACAAAAAAAAAACAATAAAAAAGAAACAACTTCAATGATAGTTAAATTCTTACTGCCAATCATATTTGACACAAGAGCAATCAAGATGACTTTTTGGAAACAAATTCAATGATCAATGAAATACAGTGACATTAAAAATTTATTTTATAATTTCCATATTTGTTCAATATTATTTAAAACTGCTTCTGAATCTGTTTTGAAGACCATAAAATAACCTTGGATTTGTGCTGCACTGACATTTTTGCCAAAGGCCAAGATTTTCTCACATAGCAGGTCAGCCCTGCTTTCTGTCTCATGAGGGTAGAAACGCAAAAACATTGTCCTTATTTGATAATGACTGGCATAATCAATTTTCTCTTTTACATCCACTCGACCTGGTCGTATAAGGGCAGAATCAAGTCTGAAATTAAACGAAAGAAAGGAAGAAGAGAAATTGCAGAACATTTCGGTGAAAATCACTTCAAAAATCAAAGACAAACATTTGATCTACATCAATGTTTGGAACATAATGATGAAAAAAGCATTTATTTTACATGTTGTATTTGTTAAGGCTTTTGTGAAGTCATGGATTTTGGTTTGGTTTGTTTTATGGCATATCAACATCTCAATGGGTTATTTAATGCTGACAAAATTGTTATTGCTGGTAATATTTTTTTCCAAAAATGTATTGCTGGTAAAAATTTTTCTAAAAAATTATTGCTGGTATATAGAATATAAAATCCTATTTTTATACTTTCACAGGGGGATAACTATTTGCCCATAGCTGGGACCCTGACAGGTGCTACCACCCCATGTCAGAGTGGACGTGGGAACACCAGTAATTAAGAGGTGGTTCCACGCTCATCAAAACCTTCTGATCAAAGGCCTTGCTGCCGGATGTAGTTTATCATCTTACCCAGGACGAATCATAAATATTAATCACAGATTAAATATTATACTGTGACAATTCCAGATCAAATTTCAGTGAACTACATGTCACACTATGGACGTATTGATCCATCCTCATCCAATGTTCCATGCAACTATGGCTAATGACGTGGAAACTAAAGATTTTCTGGATGAGTTCCCTTTGGTCATCAAACTTCACCCATAGACGAAAAGAACTGAAGTTTCAATCCCAGCAATTATAAGACAAGTCTAGCTGAGTTTGGAACAAAAAAATGAAAAGCACTTAAAATATTATTTATTTAATTTGCCTTCTAATTTCTCTGCTAGCTGCAATCCTCTTTCAATCTCAACAGAAGAGAAATTGATAAACAGAGCATGACAGGTTTTGTACATGACAAAGCAACAAACAGTGGCTTTTATATAAATAATATTATAAAAGTGCTGAATTTACTTTCACACAATAAGGGCTATTAACAAAGTGTATCTACTGGTGGCGTGGGGTGGGGAGTCACTCTGTATATATATATATATATATATATACAAAAGTAGGCATAAAAGAGCTTTCAATTTTTTTTTTTTTTTTTGTTTTAAATAAGATTGTCCTCCATTCATATAACCAAATAAAAATAACTAACATTTCTAAATGTTTCTAGATTTTTACCCCCCTCAACACCTTTGGGTTAGGTAAATTAATTTTACATGTCACTTCTTGTTGGGTAACTTAATGTTGAAATCAGTCATTTCTTTAATAAGCATTTATTTGGTTCAAGGACAGGTAAATATCAGTTTTTTATATTTGAGTCAATAAGATAGTAGGTGGTCCCTTTTAGGTGAGAGGTTTTACCACTGAGTGTATAATACTCTGGATTTCTTTTACTTACAGTGTATAGAGTACTTTCTAATTGCTCCACCAACAAAAACACATTAATTGTACTGACAAAAATTAAATTATGACCCATTGTTTTGTCATTGGTTCTATTACATTAAAAAAAAAAAAAATTTTCAATGGCAATAAATAAGATCTTTAAAGGCAGTGGAATGTATTTGTCAAAATTAGTATTTAGCCACACACAGCATCCAGTCTTTAGCTTTCAGCAGGTGTATTCCATTAGAAAGAGCTTACAGCTCTATCACATTAAAACACTGGTTTTCATACAATCACTGAAGTTTAGCAACATCAATCCTGGTCAGTATCTAGATGGGCAACCACTTGGAAATATCAGGTGCTGTAAGCTTGGATGTGTGGATGGTGTAATAGATAACGACTCGGATTTGGAAATCAGAGATGGATTCATTATATTCACTTACATAAACAAATATCCTTGGGAAAGGTATAAATCCACCTCTTCCCCACACCCCCAATTATAGGTTAATTAGTACTTATATCAGTAAGTCATTATTATGTCCAAAAATTTCTTACAATCTAAAAATATTTTCTAGCTTTAAATAAACTGCAAATGGATGATAAAATTATAAAAAACATAATTAATCAATCCATCAGAAAAAGAAAAATTCTTCCTAGAAGGAAAAATAAGAACTGGAGTAGCCCAACTTAAGCATGAACCCAAAAACTCAATAATATGCTTGCTTCTTTAACGACCCAATATTTATCCAGATCTTATTCCAGTAAATGTCCAAAAAACAGTTTTAATTGTCTGAAGAAGATTTCTTTTAGTAATGAGAATCTTCCCAAAATTGGAAACATAATATTTATTAGAAACAACATTTACAGATGAATATAAACTCATAAAAACTACCTTTTTTTTTTATGTAAAAATGGATGCAGTTTCATCAATTAGTTATCAATTATTTACACATGTATTTTACATACATAAATTTACTGAATTCTGTGTGGATTTACTCTTAATAAGTTAATCTAGCTCCTGCAGAGGGCATTTGACTGAGCCTTTATCACAATAGGTAGGGAGGTGCAGATGCAATAGGCAACAATAAACTACAGACAAACTCAAAATTGATCACTGCATTTAAGTATTGCATTAATCTTACCTTTTAGAAGTTCAACGATAATTCTTCTGCTGCTACTTAATTTAAAGACAGTTTGATGTATGTAGGTCCTTACTTTCAATACAAAAAAATTATTTTTATTTCATAGGTTACTTTTGCCAGATTTCACAATTAATTTTGATCATTCCCAAATTTATTTCCAAGTTACAAAAACTGTCATCATACAAAAAAATTACTGAAAACAATCACAGCAATGAAAACTTGGGAATCCAAAATTTTAAAATTGTGGGCCTGGAATGTTTTTAAATTACTTATGGAGTTGGCCTGATTCCAAAATGGTATAATATGTTGGGCTACAGTTTCTAGGAATAAAGTTGAAAAAGTGTGACACTGACATTCACATTTATTATATATATATATATATATATATATATATATATATATATATATATATATATACACACACACACAAAACCTAAACTCTGATCCTGATCACTAGTGCTGATCCATATGTAAATAATCCAGCTATTTTTTATGGGAATTATGCAAGTTGTGAATAAATAGTGATAAAGATATTGACAAAGTTCTGAATTAAGACTAAAATTAAAACTAAATTTTGCAACTTACCTTTCCAAATAATTTGTTGTCATAAACACAATTCTACCTTCAGCAGATGCAACACCATCAAGTGCATTGAGCAGCCCACTAAATGTCAATCGACCAAATCCTTGATATGCTGCTGGGTCTAAAGGAAAGTAAACAAACTTTATTCAGTCCTATCCTGGCTTTAAATAAATTGGATCACAAAATTTTAACAAGTAACCAGCCAAACACACACACTTCAAACATAAAACGGTTTTCTTATTGGTTATTCTAAATTGAACAAGACTGGTCTTTGATTTGGAAGTCCAGACAAAAAGGATCTATTGCCAATTTTATAAGTGACTAACACAAGTTGACAATATTGAATATAATGGCATTTAAAACTTACACTGCTGCATTGTTGGCTAGTTGTGCTGGGGTCATTTTCAGAAAACTAGGAAATTGCCATTTACTAGAAATAAAGGACCAAAAAGACATTGACAACAATTTCTTATGGACACTGCCTGTTTTCAATCAGATAATCTACAGAATGGATTATGCTAAGTGACACCCTCCTGACCAACATAAAATATAATAAAATTACATCACAAAATATGTTATATTGTATACTGCCATATGTCTATGATGGTTTGGAAAAAAGCCTACACACTAGTTAGTTTATAGTGCAAACACTAGGGACTGACATTCTGTTCTACACATGCTTCATAAAAACACGTCTTGTAAATGTATATGATAGGATAAGGAATAAATAACAAATGTTCTTCTGATTTGTTCCTTATCCTATCATTCTGTCAGATTCTGATCTGTATTTGATCTGATTTCAAAATGTATGTCTCTGAGCATCAGCTGAAAAGTTCTTAGTCTAACTAAGATATACATGTAATTAGATACACCACTTGGTAGACAAAAAGACATGCAAGTGTACCAGAATACAAAAGCTGGGTGATCAGACTGAACTTTCCAGCCAGCCCTCACATGTGAATATATATATATATATATATATATATATATATATATATATATATATATCTCCAAATGAAAGAAAGAACAGATTAAGTAAAAATCCACTGTTTGTAGCATTTACTTTTAAAAAAGTGCTCAATACAAAGAGTAATATATTATTGTTATATTTTTATTATAAAAGATTATAATAACATTTTCAAATCGCTACACAAAAGCTTTCACGTTTTAATACTATGATTGCATTTCTTCAGGCGAATAGTATTGAAAGCTGATTCATGTTACCTTCAGCATCTCAATTCTAGAGTTTCAGACCTGTCCATCCACTCTTCAGGGGATATCAGCAATCTACTGATTATATTTTTTGATATTTTGCATTTTTATATGCACTTATGATTGATGTAAGTTTTTGCCACATTGTTTGTGCGTGTGTATTTTCGCATGTGCAGCTATGTGCCCATCTGTGAGGATGTGCATACATTTAAGGTGTTGTGATCATTTGTCCTTTTCCTCATTTTTTTTTTTTTTTACTTTAAACTCACTCTTTAGCTTTTACTCTCCCCCCCACCCTGTTCTTTCAACAGTTACTATATATTGAAGACAGGTAATGTAAATCTTCTAAACATATATAGGTAACTTCTATAACATCTATATCATTATAATGATATATACATACTACCCAGCTTGATGTGTTACTGGATGAGTGTTACAAATTATTCTTGACATTTTGTGTTGCAGCAAGGCAAAAAAAAAAAAAGGTCTCAAGTAAAATTTACCAGCAACCATTTAACTTTTTATTGCTTCCATAAAATTTTTTTCATTAAATTATTACAGAAAATCTGTTTAGTTCCAAAAGTTTGCATAAATAAAATGTCAAAATAATGGGGTAGTTTTTGTTCTTTTCAACTTATCTATGTCACATCTTGACTCCTGTTAAACATTAGGGTCGTAAAGGCATATCGTCAAGTGCTGCAGCCATGGCAGCAGTGGTGCATCTTGGCAAGATAACCTGACGAAGCCCATCCCTCTTCAGGCTGGTTTTGAAGTCAAAGTTTTCCTTGCCCTCGACTGGTTGCCACCTCAAGGCAAGAAAGCCCAGTCTGCCTTGCTATTTACTCCTTAGCTGGAGGGACATGGATTTTTCAAGCAAATGAAACAAAATTAAGGAGGAATTAAACCTAGTATACTGAATTCACTTTCTGTTCCGATACTCATTACCCTATCTGCACTTCCAACCAACTCGTCTAGAGAAATCTTATAATTATATTTTACGCCGTTTACAAAAAGTCTGGTGTAAGATTGAGTTCTGACACAATTCCATTCAGAATTTAAGCAGTACTTACTTTCCACAGCTAAATCTCGACTCACAAAGGCTGCATCAATATCTTCCAACAGGATAATGCTCTGCTCCGGAGCCACTGTCAGGAGGTGATTGAGACGATCATCTGTCAAACTACGTTCACTGAGGTTCATCACACAAATATGATAGTCCAATTCTCCTAAAAGAGAAAACAGAAAAACAAATGAGCCAAGCCCTTTGAACCCAACTTTATTCCTTTAGCCTTTAATATGCTTAGCATTTTTCTATATGTTTAAAGATCATTTGTATACATATAAGAGATTTATTCTGCCAATAATCCCTGACCAATGACAATACCTTTCTTCCTGATTATCAATACATTTGTATAGTGAAATTATTAGAAAAGCATTTATATTATAAATAAAATAGTACTATATAGTTAGTAATCCTTGCATTAGTTCCTGACTGCCGACAATCCCTTTCTTCCTGATTTTCTGTGCACAAATAGTGAATACAGAGTGGGTGCAGAAATGTGTATGTTGTATGTTTTATATACCCTTTCATGTCTAGAGTCAACTTTTATCTATCCTACATATCCTCACATGTACTTCTTACCTATTCTCTTGATGCCCTGACAACAATCTCATTTAATAACCCTCTACCTCAAGTGGCTATTGGACCTTCTATTAGGTGAACAATAGTATAAAACAAAAAAATATATCCAGTAAGAAGAGACATTATTTTAAAATATTGTAAGTACAACTCAATGTTATCTTTATAAATACAACCTAATGCCAAACTATGCAAAAGCATAAAAGACGATAGATATAACTGATTATTATTCATCCTTACAATTATTAAATTACTTACATTATTTATTTTATGAAGACAAATGTTAAATTCTTAAAACCATGATGAAAAAATAAATTCAACAACAAAATTTCAAATTATAAATGTGCTAATTAGTTATTTTAAATATATAAAATACACTGAAATAAATAAATTGAAATATCAATTTTTAAAAAAGTATTGACCTTTAAAGATTTTTTATGTCTACTTTATACAGTTAAAAAAACTGACGTGCTAACATACTTATCAAAAAAGATGTACTAATATAAAAGTTTTAACCTACCAATCATAGACTGGCATCCATTTGCTGAAGGCCAATAGAACAAGTAATTCCGTAGTTATCTACCCTTGATTATGAGAACAAAGATAATTTTTTGACTGATTTTTTTTAACGTATTGAAAGGACGAGTAGCGAAGTCCTTGTCACAGACCAGCGAAAACTGGTTTGGAAGTTTAGCATCAATCAGTTGGTTAATAAGTGGTTGATCTTTCTTAAATCATAAAATCATCCGAAATTTATATCAAGTGAAAAGAGAACAAACAAAGAAAGAAGATGGCTAATTCTGAATTTCTTTATCTGTTGTTGTTATCATTCATTATTAGACTGAATGTAAATAAGAAGATAGGTATTTATTAATCTTAGCTTGGTACAAGACTAAAAGAATGGAACATCTGGTGAGAACAAAAAGCATTAGTGCTTGGTGATTTGGTTATAGTTAGTTAGTAAACTAGTCTCAGTGACTACTAGTATGAAGAGTTTAATCTTCACTGAGTTCCCCAATCATGGACCACAGTAGATTTGGCTTTAGTAATATAAGGAGATCTTTCCCTGGAGTAGAGGTTAACACACTAGATTCATCAATTTATTACTGTTGTATTGAGTACAAGGTTTACTAAGTGCTTCACACTTGTTAAACTGATATACAGCAGTGCCAAATATATTAAAGAATGAAACTGTAGAAGTTAACAAGGTTGTGGGTTTTGTATGGATTTTTAGGTGAATATATAATGAAAGAGAAGAAGCATACAAAAGAACCTGTGTTTCTGCTACAGACGTTTATTCCTTTTACTGACTGTATTGAAACAAAAGTTAAATGTCTCATGAGTATGTTCGTTTTCCTTTTCTGGTTCAGAAATGATTTATAGGATATAAGAATATGAACAGGTTAAACTGGTTGAGCTCAAGTCAGCCTTGCACTGAGTTGGGAAGACTAAACATCTACTTCATGGGTATATAGAGTTTAAGCTCTATACACCAATTTCCAGTATCTAATTATCATACTATTCTGATTTAGTGAATTTCATTGGATAATAAATATTCAAGTAGATTTACTGTGTATTAACTCTTGCTGATAACAAATTTCATACATCCTAAACACAAAGTGGATCCAAATTAGTATTTTGTAAATACTATTGCCGATTGGTCAATATATATGAAAAATAGCAACAACGCCCATGCAGTAGTGTTTAAAGTAAGTTGACCACCAAAATTTCTAAATATATTCGTGAGCCTATCATGTGACTAGAAAACAAATAAATTCAATGCACAAGCAAACCTAGTCAGTGAGCATTTTTGCACAAATAGCAATTGCCAAATTAGTCCATGACGCTTGCATCATTGAAGTGCAAAGTTAGAATTTTAATTTCTTCAGTACAAAAAAAATTCATTGTAATTCAAGTTAAAATATTCAACTCAATCACTCACTCACTTGCAAAATTCTTCCGGATTCATTTATTACTTACTGAAAACTTCTCAATCACAGTATTGATTTTCAACTGAATCTACAGAACATTCTTACACTGGAATTTATTGTTCATCAAGTTTAATTCTTGACTGAAGAATGAACTACCTTTCAGAATTCTTGTAAGATATTTTTATGCAATCTTTGACACACACAAATAGTCAAAAGGCAGAAAACTTGTTACTAAACTCTTAAATTATGAATTTCATTTTAGAAACTGTTTTACAAACTGTTTAAAATTCAATTTAAACAAATCTAATAACAAATTCTATTGAAATTTCACATACTATATAAGGCAAAACATTCAATTCAGTGAACTCAACCTCATGTGACACTGAACATTTATAAGAGTTTAAAAAGTAAATTTAAAATCCACCCATAAAATCTCTCATTCACTAAAGTTCAACCAACACATGTTTTTTGTGTATTTTATGTTATATAAAATATTTTTATTGTTGTTATCTGAGATTTGTTGTTTGTGTCCTATTTATGTTTTATCAATGTTGTGAAATGAAGAAGTTTAAAATGTGTGCAGAAATAACTAATTCACCTTCACTTTTCTAACATTTATGGCCCGACAAAATAGTTAATTAGCAAGTCTCCACCACAAGTAGGTCTGCTAAAACACCTCCGACAATGTTGTTAGAAAGTGGGGAAAAAATGCATTCCCCAGTGGACCACTGAAAGTAACATTCCCCAGTGGGAATATAATTACTGCGTGGTTCACATTTTGAAGCCAAATGGAGAACAAGAAAGATTCTGTCCATTCCATAAGTGAGGTCATAAAATCACACATGTGGCCAGAAACTCTTTCCAGTTTCTTTATAACTTGCAGCATGGGAAAATTTATTTATTCTTTATTATTATTCTATTGGTCTTATTTCATTTTCCCAGAAAAATTGAAATATTTTTAAAATGTTTTGCAGTTGAAGAGAAAAATAAAATTTACTGCCCAGTGCAGCAAATGAGCTCATAATATACAGTCAATTTGTAAGAAACTTTAGCTTTTAATATAGATGTCACCCCTATTGACTGAAATAGGATCACACAGTAGAGCTCTATAAAAGCCAATGCTTTTTTGCTCTTGTGAGTTTTTTTTTGGTCTGTCTCCTGGAGAAAATTTGTCCTTCAGGATTTTTGTCAGTTGCTTGATTATAGAGAGTGGAAGAAAAGGAAAAAGGAAGACTTAACTTAAACTACATGTTCCTTATTAGATGTTTTACTATTTGAATCATGATCATGATCATCTTGATTGTTATACAAATGATTATATTTCTTGGACACATGGCCAAGGGCAGTGGTGCACAAACGTTTTTCCTTCCCATGGACCACTTTTGCCCTTAATATTTTGGGGCGGACCCTCATCATAACCGTTCGATGAAAAAAAAAAAAAAAAAACCTTTTTTATTCTTTACCAATAGACAAGTTTAGGAATCTTGATATAATTTTCCTTTATATATATATATATATATATATATATATATATAAACTAAAAGAAGAGGTAAACCTACCTAGGTTTCATCTATACGGGTCGTCAGTTGACCCTGACGATCTGTATAAGTGAAACCTAGGTAGGTTTACCTGGCTCTTTAGGTTCATATTTAGGTTTGTTCTACTTAGCGTATTGATCACTTTACTTAGTTACTTTTGCTTTACTCATTTTGGAGGTCTTTTTCTTTGGACTCTGAGCTTGGATTCTGGATGATTGTTTATGTCTCAATTTCATGGTCTTAGTTCTTCTTTTTTTTATTCCTTATTTCCCTTTGGGAATTGGTTTGTTCAATTACAAGCCAAAATACCTAAGGTTTTTCCAAACGAGTATAACTATTTTAACTATATATATATATATATATATATATATATATATATATATATATATATAATCCTTCCTTTATATATCTTTTTACAATCAAAACATCTGTTAGAGCAAAAAGGATGCTAACTTACATTGCTTGATTTCATTCTTTGCTAGTTTTAGAGTTGTTTTTCTACTTTTAGTATTTTAACATGGCGTCGATTAATGTAGAAATTCCAGTTCTAAGTTTTAACAACCGTTCCGAAGTGAAATTACTCTATGGACCACTAAAATTTTACCATGGACCTCCAATTTGCTATTTTTTGGTGTGGACCTCAGTAATGTTACATGCCCCCCAAGAAAAAGGAAACAAAAGAAAGGAAGAAAAAAAGAAAAAGGAAACAAAAGGAGAAAAAAATAAATGAATTACCTACCTGCAAGTGCAACTATATAGCTACTCTTTCCACAACCTGGCGGTCCATGCAGAAGATACCCCCTGCGGTAGGGAATGCCCCTATCTGTATACCATTTGACATTTCCAATGAATTCTTTTACATCTGTCATTATCTGCTCAGAGATGCCAGCATCTAAAACCACAGAACTTAGTGGTCGTTTTTTCTTTGGATATCCAAATTGGCGCCATTCTGAACCCATTGGCGTATACATAACTGTCTTTCCCTCTTGTTCTTGTAAAGCAATCGCTCGAGCCTCTTCAAGAATATTAAAAAATAAATCTCGATTCTGTCCGATGGCTGTAAGAGACACTGTCTCAAATGGTGTCCCTGTTGTGAAATCGCCCATCGTCTTCTCTCGATTTCTCTCAACTTTGATCCACGTGTTTTTATGCTTAAAAAAATGGTTACCTGGACTTGGCATGAAATCAAACTTGGTGTAGATGCGACCAGCATCTGACTGTTCAAACTTGGTGCGAACACTGAGGTGCTGTGCACGCATGGCTCTATGCGAAATCCAATGTAGAAGCCAGTGGTAACTTTTATCAGCGCTTGGAACTTCCAGGCTGATCAGATAATTCCTTCGCAGCAGAATACCACCATACTGTGCAAGTTTTCGCAATGCTGCCATTCCTGTACCAACACCAAAAAGTCCAAAGCCAGCACCAAAATATGGATTGCTTCCCAAGGAAGCCACAAGTTCTGTAATTGTCATTTCAGGGAATCAGAGACTGAAAAAGAGAAAAAAAAAAAAAAAGGGGGTAAAAATCTGGAATACAAAACCACATAATATTAACCTTTAAAAAGTTCTCCAAAATAAATATCTTTCTATTTTATTTAGGATATTTTTATTCACTCATTTTAAAATATCTTTTGATTTTGGGTTAAATCAAGAATATTTGGACACAGTTACATTTTATGGTAAGAACTAGTCTATCATGAACTTCTCATAGCTGGCAGAACCAGTTTTGTCAGATTGATCACAAAAAAGGGCTACAATTTTATCAATTTCTAAATTAAATCTGGAGTTTTTACATCAGTTATAAAGCAGAAAAAATTCTCCACTTTTTAACAAGGGTTTAAGATAATATATATATATATATATATATATATATATATATATTTTCCTTGTCGGTCATACAGATAGATAGATTTATGTATGTATGTATGTATGACAGACAAGGAAAATTTGATGAATCTTTTACTGAGTTTTTCTAGTATTCTTAAATTTTTCTGGGGGTAAGAGAGTTCAAAGATTGTCTATAGTGTCCATTGTCCCAAGTGCTTCCAGTCACTTCTTTAGACATTTTCAAAGGGTTTGCTGTTAATTTCTTTCCATGTTTTTTTTTTTTTTAAAACATGTAGTTGTGTTACCTATATAGTCGTAGCATTTATTTTGAACTCCATGAAAGGAATGTAGGTGGAATTTGAATTGGCATCATTCTATTTTAAAAAACTTTAAGCACATTATTTTTGTTGTTAAATAGAAAACATAAAATCTCACCTTATATAACAACGGAAATAATATGACATCTTTTGAACAGGAGTAGGAGTTTATCCCTTGTTTCCTGTTTAGGATTGGCTTTCCAATTCTTTCTAAGGTCTACTTTAGCACTGCACTCCTAACACTTGTCCTTTCTTACACTAATACAACTCCACACAATAACCCTCTACCTTGAGTGGCTCTTGGACCTTCTCTTGGGTGAACATTAGGAAAAAGAAAACTATCATGAAAGTTATCGTCTGAAACAATTTTTTTTGCACATCAAACCCTGAAGGCTTACCTAGTCTCATATTCAGAGCATGACCAAATCTTTCCCATGAACAACTGTTTCACAAAATAGGAGACCAAAAAAAATAATAATTGAAAAACCAATGGAATATTTAAAGAGACTATATTATCATCCATCCAGTTTAATGTTCAAAACAATTTTTGCATGCTACTGAATTACCTACCAAAACACATATTTTACTTTCATAAAACTAGATATATTCAATAATATGCCAAAAAAAAAAAACAACATAACATCATGAAAAAAGGGCCCAAGCTTAATAAAAACAAAGGTTTATCAAGAAAAAGTTTATGCTATTAATAATAGGAAAGACCAAAGTGTTTTTTAATTATTTTTTAAAAAATTTTTATTCCTTTCTAGCACGTTTGAAATTTTGGTTAAAAATCTTTTTCTTTTTTTTATGGCAACATGAGTGTAATATTTAGCATTAGTTTTTTTAGCGCTTTTGTCAGTTGAAAAAACACATTAATTTGGAAATTTTTGCAAAAATCAAATAATTATCAGATTTTATTGAAACTTTCAAAACTTATTAAAAAAATGATGAAATTATTTTAGAAATGTTTGTTTTTTTTGAAAGTCATGGCAAAAATATTTTTTTTTTTTTACACCTTACTTAATTTTATGAAAACTTGAAAACTCGAATATGAGCCTCTCTGTATTTTTTTAATTAAATGCAGAAGACTTTGAAGAATATAAATCATTGATTTTTTTTCCGTAAATCGAGGAGCAGTTCAACCCAAACTTTAGCTCTGAAATGTAAAATACAAAAAAAGTAAAACCCAATAAAACTAAGACATTATTTAATTAAAAAAGCTTTTAATGCCTTTTCAAAATAATGACATTTTTCTGAAGCAAAATATTTTTTGGATGAAAAATGAATTTTTACAAGAATTGTTTTCTTTTAATTTTTAATACAAAAGGTGATAAAGTTGTTAAATATTTTAAAATTAAGTTTGAATACTTAATACTTAAGTCTGGAAATGCTCTTAAAAGATCTATTTTTCACAGATCATAAATTTGAAAGCTTATTACAATAGCAAAGTGATTCTATTTTTTTTACAATAATTTTTTAATATGCCAATTATAAAACTGTGACCAAAGACTTACAATCTGTAAAAAGTCTTTGGTCACAGTTTTATAATTGGCATATTAAAAAATTATTGTAAAAAAAAAAAATAGAATTGCTTCGCTATTGTAAAAACAGAAATAATCTTTTTTAAGAAGCTTCTTTAACCTATCTTTTCTGGATTATGTATTAGAAAACAAAAAAATATAGTGTCAAATTACAATATTAAACAGCAACATTTCAAACTCCCATGGCGGAGTAATTGTTAGCGGAGGAATCGGAGAGCCAAGTTCGAATTCCAGCCAGATCCATTACATTCATTTACATGCTAATACCCTTGAGAAAGGTATGAATCCTTTTCTTCCCCCCCCAGCTATGGGTAAATAGCAGGACAGACCAGGTTCTATACCGGGTTTTTGGATGGCAACTGGTCTACAGCAGAAAGAAATGGCAACCTACTGCGGGAAAAAATCTGCCTCGTCATCGAAAGATACATGATCGCCTAAGTGTGTGTCACGAGTGGCATATAACTAACAGAAGTACATTGTTATTGTTATTGATTGAGTTATGATGAGGGAGCATTAAATTCTTATTAATAAAGAAATTCCATAAATGTTGAATTTCGTCAAAAAGTAAAAGGAAAATGATGCTGACCTTGGAAGTTCGTAGGGGGTTTTGTTAACTTTTAGCTGCACACCCCGAAATTGTTTTAAAAAAATAACCCAACAAAATCGGCAGTTTTTATTTATTTATCATTTTTATCAGGCTCACCAAGATAAACGGAAAACGAAGAACAGGTGTCCCAGGGTCCGTACACACCCGAAACCCCATAAAAAATTAATTTTAATTTAAAATTAATTTTAAAATTTTTAAAAATTGTTTTCATATGGCTCCAGCCCCGATGTCCAGCTAAGTGTTCTCATTGTTTAATAAAATTGTAACAATACTGTTGTTAACAGGATATTGTTTTCTATAAAATGCATCTTAGATGTATTTACAACTGAATGAAAATAATTTAATAGTCGTACAATATAACAATTGACTAAATGAAATTCAAGATAAGGTAGGACTAAGGAGATACTTAGTTTTTTTTAAGTCTACTAATTCGATATAAATTTTCGATACCTCCGGTTAAAAATGAAAAAGCATTCTTGAAGATTTCATTTTAGCTTTAATTGAAAGCTAAAGGATTAAATTTACTATTTCCAGTCAGTAAAATATTCTGGTGTATTTTAAATACAAAATAATTTTATAATTGATCGTAAAACACTTCGTGAAAAAGAAAACTACACTAAAATACCCAAGACAAGTGGAATAGATTTAAAAAAAACGACTTACAATAAGTTATAATAACATTATTATGAAACTGTGGATTGTGCAATTATCAAAAGAAAAACTGTCGTAATAAAAATGACTTTCAAAAGAAGAATTTCAAAATTCATACCTCCTTTCCGCTTTGTTATCGAGCCATTCCTTCCGTCACCGGCAACAACGTGCTCGTCTTGTATCGATTAGTTATGGCTGGCATCTGTTCAGCAGGGTTTGTTAGGAATTTCCTTGTTAGATATTGGAAAAATAGATGATTTCGGGGTCATATCTTTCCTCTTCCATGTACACAAATTATTCTTTATTATATCATTGCAACGCAGAAATGAGAGGAAGATTTTTTTCGGTATCATTTTCTCCTGAAAATATTTTTTTTATCTTCATTTACAAACAAACAAAAAATGTTTGTTTAATTAATTCATTCATTTTTTAGCGCTCCGTGTCTTGGCTTTCCAAGGTCGTTGCTTTTTCTTTACGTTAAGTTCAATGGATTATATAGTTTTAAAAAAAATGAATTTTTTTATTGTCTTTTATTTTTCATTATTTTATTAGATAGGTGTTAATTTTTCTTTTCAATCAAAGAGGTTTTAAATTAAACTTTTTTATGTTTTAAAAAAAGTGACTGTAAAACCATAATTTTCCCTAATTTTTTTCACCTTCTAACGAAACAAATTTCACTCAATCAATGGCCACCTATAAACATAACTGAAAAAAATATATATATTTTAGTGAAAAAAAAAAGCTATTTTTTTTTTTTTTTCAGAAATGGTTTTTTGTTTGTTATTTTTTGCAGCGAGATTCACCCTTTACAAGGCCCGGGGGCCACTCAAGGTAGACGGTTACGTTTGGAGGTCATCCGTGTGTATAAGAGTGGAAGATAACGATTTAACCCCAGTCTTGAACAGGTTAAGAATAAGATTGTAGTGATCGGGAAAAATATCCAGTTGGAAATCGATTCCATAGTTTCATTGCACTTCACTTCACTTTTTTAAATTTGTTTGAAAAATGTTGATTAAATTTGTATTTGTTTGTGGAATTAAAATTCCTGTTGGTGTTAAGATATTGATTTGCTTATGTTTAACTTGAAACTATCTTTCTTGGGGATAGAAATTATTTTGGGAATTAAATAAAAATGCCTAAGATAATTTCTTTCTCCAGGAAACCTAGAAAAAAATAACATAAACAATTAGACAAAACTAATCGAAAAAGCAATTTTTTAATTAATAATACTTGTAAGTTGTCTCTGATATTTAAATAATAAAAAAAAAAGGATGAACAGATTAAATATATGTACAGGCTTCTGAAAAAATATCCTTA